TCCCATGTAAACTATGACTTTTCCCTAACTGTACATACACATGATAAATTTTAATTTATAAATTAGGTACAGTAAGAAATTAACAAATATAATAATGGAATAATTATAATAATATAGTGTAGTAAAATTATGTGAACCTAGTCTCTTTCAAGGTATTACACAGTACTTATCCTTGTAATGATGACACATGATACAGTGGCAGCCTAATAAAATGGAATGAAGTGTAGGACATAGGCTTTGCGTTGCAGCATTAGGACACTATATAAGGATTACTTGAACATAAGCCATGCAGTACTCTGACAATTAATCTGATAGCTGAGACTGATACTAAGAGACTATTAGGCAGATTGTGAATATATGTAAATGTACTGGGCAAAAGAGTGGTTTATGTCCTGGGATGATCAGAGGAGGATGGTTTGAGATTTCATCATGCTAATCAAATGGCATGCAATTTAGTACTTATAGATTATTTCTGAAAGTTTCCATTTAATGTTTTTGTAGCATGATGAACTGTGGGTAGTTGAAACCACAGAAAGTGGAATTACATATACTGGGTGGCCTCTGTACTCTTTTCTCCTAAGCATGGTTTGTGTTAAGTGTGTTGTCTGCATCTCCTTTATATTACTGTTAGTATTGATTCTCTTTCCATTCTTATCTTTCAAATAAATCTTTCAAGTATTCTAGGTTTTAGTTTCTTTAAGCCTCACTAAATCATTTTGTGGAGAAGACAATGCAGAGAGCACACAGGTTACAATGTTTGGATTAACTTCCCACCTTTCCCAGTTGTGACTGAATTTTAATATGGGGTTTGGAGCCCTCCTTCCTTGTTTTGGTCTTTTCTTGGTTATTTATCTCTTTGTGGAGATAAATTCTCCAAGGGAAATATGCCACAATAGCGCATTGCTTCTCCATGCTTCTTCCCCTAGGCTCTTCTAAGTGCGAAGTCAGAGGAAACATTCTTTTCATATCAGATGGAGAGTACATATGAAAATTTTATGCATGCTTTTGTTATGCTGTATTATATTTCTCTGGTTAAGTTTGGATAATTAGAATATTAAAAAATCATTAAAACATTTCTTTGCTCATGTTTTCGGACACTGTTATAAGTGTTTCATATATATTAACACAGAACTGTGCATCCTATTTATGTCATAGTATAACTACATATAACTTCGATCTGATAAGTGGTTGATTTCCTGTCGAGGGCTGTGGTTTGAGTCTCAGAGCTGTCACTTGTTTCTTTTATAAGGATCTGTAACCATTTTGTTTCTCTGAGTCTCCAACACCTACAATATAACATTGACAATAATACGTCTAGTGTAGGGTTGAGGTTTAGATTTCATGGGAACAAATACAGACATTTTACAAGATGCCTAGCAAATGTGAAGCATCACATTTGTCTCACTCTCTTCCACCCCACTGGACTACATATTTCTTTAGGTAAAGAAAAAAAATTATTTTTATATTTGGATCCTTAGGATTCAGTCAGTATCTACTTGTTGAGTGAATGAAAGAACACTTAAATTAGTTAAATGAACAAATTGACGAATGATTAAATTGGCCTTCCATATGTGATAGTCAAAAGTTGCTGCTCTTTTGTAGGAATTGAATTTCAGTGCCTGCCATTGACTTTCCTTGGCTTAATCTATTAGGAAAAATGATATTATTATTGACTGAATAGTCTTTTCTTCTCGACTTTTGCAATTTCCTACATATTGTCTAAAGTTAATTATTTGTTTCAGAAATTGTTTTTTTATAGGAAAAACAGTCCTGTTTTCAGAACATTGCACTTTGTTTCACATTTCTCCTATAAAATGAGACCCAATTCATAGAATACCAATTATTTTCCTAATTCCCATAATTTACAGATTCTGTTCATCACCAAGTAACCCTATTTGCTGTCAAGCTCGATTCATTCCTCCCTTAATCAATTTTCCTAACCATTGCTCTTTTCTTCATTAGTATTCCTTCTAAAATGTGTTCAGTAGTCATTCTTTTTGATGTATCCCTCAGTGGTATACTTACCTGTCCTCATCAACATATTCATTGTTTCTGCCTCACATGAAAGCCCCAGCTTTCCATACATGCACTGGTTCCCCTTGGTGGTGGGCCTGAAGCTAGCCACAGGCTCTTTTTCAGGTTCTACAAGGAATGAAGACTTAACATCCTGAGGTTCTGACTGGGCCTTCCTGCTCCCCACATTGGAGTTCTGTAGCTTTATTCATCCTGCAGAACAGCTGTCGCTGCCTAAGGGTCAACTGGCAAGATGTATAGGAAAAGTTGAGTCATGTGCACCAGAAGTAGAGTCAGAATCTTCACAGAACTCAGCCAGAGGCCATACTGTGGTTTTCAGGGAACAATATATGAAGCTCCTCGGTTCACACAGAAGTAGCCTAAGGTCTGGTTCTTCACCTTCTGGCCAGTAGATATCTAGTCAGAAATCAGTTTCTCCTCCCCTTCTCTTTTCATCTATTACTGTGTTAATTAAGGACAGAATTGTAACTGTTATCCAGATAAACAGGAACAGAACATAAGAGCAAGAAAAACCACACATGAGGGATTCTTTTTTTTCTGTATTCTCTCATTACTTTGTAGGAAAAAAAAATCCTAAGCTTGGCTTCATAGAGTGGAAGGTTAGTCTCTGATTTTTAAATCTTACCATGTTAGGTCCTTAATGATACAACAGGAACTCTGAAGACTTTGAGTATCAATAATACTTCTAAAAAGTATACTAAGACACTAGTTTGTTAGTTTTGCTTTTTAAACCTGAATTGGCTTATAAACGACTTCTAAAAAAGTTTTTTCTTTTGTTGTTGTAGGAGGATTGAATGTAGGGCCTTAGGTTTGCTAAGCTTGCTGTCTACTACTGAGCTATACTCCTAGGCCACAAAAGTCTTATTCATATAACTTATTTAGTATTTTTAACTAAATTACTTGGGACTCAGTTCCAAAGTGATCCTACTCTATTAAAAATGAAATCTTGACACATCTGAGATACTGAAATAGATGAGTTACAGCATTTGACCATGGTAATTAAAATGTTTTAGGTAATAATGCTGTTTTATAAACAGGAATTCCCTTGGCTCATTTTTATAAAGAATTGATAAGGATTTTTTTCAAGCTAAAATTGTGAAAAATTACTAGCTTTCTACTGAGCTGGACAGTACAAAACTCTTGTGCTCCAGGCTTAAACTAGAAAATGAAGATGTTTAGGTTTTCTTTTTGTCTGTTACAAAGATATGAAATTCTATAGCAATAATTGACTGAGAGATATGCAATCCAACTGTTCATCTAGATCTGCACTCTACAGTGTGGTAGCAACTGGCCACATTTAACTATTTACATTTAAATAAATTAAATAAAACTGAAATTCAGTTCCTCAGTCACACTAGCTACATTTCATGTGTTCAATTGACACAAAACTAATAGCTGTCATTTTCACCATCGAAGATAATTCTATTGGACTGGGCGTGGTGTAATCCCAGCTACTGGAGAGATGGGGATAGGAAATCACGGTTTGCGGCCAGTCTAGGCAAAAGGTGTTGAAATCCTATTTCAAAAACAAGCCAGGTAGCTCATATCATCCCAGCTTGTTAAGAGATATAGGAAGATTACCTTTCGAGGCCAACTGGGGCAAAATCACGAGACCCTATCTGAAAAAAACAAACTGAAATCAAGAGCACTGGGGATGTGGCTCAAGTAGTAGAACAGTCACATAATAAGCATAAGGCCCTGAATTCAATCTCCAGTTCTCCCCCCAACATAGTTCTGTTAGAGCAGCTAGGAAAATCCTACTTCCCCCCAAACGCAAACCTGAATTACATGTTTTCATATACATCCTATAGAAATTCTTTACTGAAGTGACCTTTGATGAGACATATTGAGAAGGTTATAAGTAACACAACTGCATATTTATTGCAGAATTCTCATGGGAGAGATTTTTCACTCTATCACCGTGTAATTTCTTTTATTTCAAATTCTTTAGATGTTATTGCCCCAAACAGTTCTTTTTCATGAGTAATGCTACTCTTAATGACATCTAACTTTTGTCTTTGCTTTGGCTTCAGAGTCTCAACTCTGAATCTATGGGCTACTTTTAGTAGTGGAACAAATCAATTCAGCATTTCTTTTGTTATATGAACTTATTGTATCTGGCACAATATTCAATTTCTTCAGGGTTTCTTCATTTTTTCGTATTATTTCATTGTGTGGTAGATAGACTATACCTTAGTGGTGAACACCACAGGTCTACAACCACTTTGCCTAAGTTCAATTCTCAGGTGCCCCATTTACTAGCTGTAATGAATTTGGAAAGCTCATTAGTGTTTAGGGATCAAAATTTCCTCATCTTCAAACTGAGATTGGCCATAATAATAATGTATTTTCCTACCACATTTCTGAGGCATGAGGATATGAAGATCAGGAGCAGTAATACAGCATTATCATATGGTATGTTCACTATTGTACCATTTATGAATGGCTTTATTTTTCTCAAAAATATCCAGAGCATATATTGTAAGCTATATTGGTTTACAAAAGATGCAAAATATAATAAAATGTTAGTGATAGAGAATAGAAGTTTAGGAAAGACTACATTTAATTAAGTATGTAAATTCTAGAATATTCATTAAAATATCATCATACATTATCATACTCATTCTTTATAAGCTGATTTGAGTTCAAATAAAATCTACTTTTGCAAACCAAATTTCTTTTATTAAATTCCTTGTTGTTTATTCTTAGGAAAAAAAATCTGTGTTTGGGAGAAATTTGCATAGAAGCATTCTGGGTGCAATTTTAGAAATGTATTGATCAATAAAGATCAGTTTGATCCAGTTTATTTTATGTGGTTAAATAAATGGTTTCTTTTTGTTTGCTGTGAGAACATATTAGGATGCCCTTTGACTTCTCTCCCTCCCTCTCCCTCTTCCCTCTCCCTTTCCCTCTCCCTGTCCCTCTCCCTCCCCCTCTCCTCCCCACCACACGTGCACACACAGCAGAAGAGACTGGAGGAGGAAAGAAAGAAAAGACAAAACTGAAGATACCGTCAAAATCAATGAAATAAGTCATCATGGCTGCCCGTGTTTGCAATGGCAAGATGAAGACTGGGTAGTGACTGTTGATCTAAACACATCATGGGAATGAATTCCTTTTGCTTGAGGTGAAGGAACTTGCTTTACTTGGAAAGATGCCAAATGTCCATGATTGGTGTCACATAACACTCCAGTTCAGTGTCTCAGCCGTGCCACCATCTGCCCAGTGCTCTCATTCTGCTGGTTGGCATGTTGTTTACTTGCTTTTAATATGCAACCCATATAAAAATTTCTCATCAGCTGCTGAAATTAGAAATGCAGTTGTTTTAAGGCTTAAACATCAATAGCACTATTTATTATGCCCACATGGAGGAATAAAATAGAAAGATGTATTTGAAAAGAGCAAATACTATACCAGAATGTATTTGTACCTACACTTTTTAAAGTACATTAATGACAGTGATAGTCTGTTATCAAATGCTGACTGTGGATGTAAACTCAATACATAAATATAGCAAATATCTTGTTTACTTCATATACATTAATGTAAAAATTGAGATTTGAATCAGCTCTAAACTTTTCTCATGTTATGAAGCAATTTCTACCTTTTAGTTTCTAGGTAATGTAAACTTTCTGGATAACCCTGAGTCTTACCTTGTTCTATTTTTATTTTCCTTTGAAGATTTTGAGATTCTGAACATTCTAACTTGTTAATCCTGAGAATGGTTTCATATAGAGCTGTGTGGAGAGTTTTCAATGAGACCAAGCACTTGGTCCCTTATTTAAAAAAAATAAAATACAGAGAAAAGATTTTTCCCCATATAGTAACACTGAAAAAACAGAAATTTAAAGCAAAGCAAAAACTACCCATTGCTTCACTGTAGTATCCACAGGTAATAAAGATGGGTATACATGACTTCATCCAAAGTCACTTATTTTGTTTCTTTTAAAATGACAAATATACCTGTTCTAAAGCTAAAATTGAATAGTTTGAAACTGGTTTGTTTCATCCTTCATTCTTCGGTGTTCATATATATCAAATAAAGGTGTAAGTTGAATTGTTTGGCTGTGTGCTAATGTTGACCTCATGTGAGATCTTTGCCCATGTGAATTTCAAATACTTAAGCCTGCTTCCTATGGAGTCAGGGCATGAAAAGTAATGATTGAGCATGGCACAGACTTGCTAAAATGGATTTACTTGATATGCATTTATCTTACAACTCCACCAAGATTAGCAGTAGTAAAAGAATAGGTACAGTAAGTGATGGTCCATGAAAAAGCCTTGAATAGTTAGCACAGTGCCAGATACATCGTTGCTACTCTAAAAATACTTTTTATAATTGTATCTCAATTTGAAAAGAAAATAATTTGGTTTTAAGGAGTTAGTGTATTTGGGAAATGTACATGTTTCATTTTTATGCAGTGGTTTCTAACCAGTAATGAAGGGATAAAAATCCATCAGACCACTGTCTTACTTGCTTCTTTCATTGCATTGTTTTTGCATTAGATCTAGTTTTATTGCTAGTAACTGATTGTCAGTTACTCACTTATTTACCTAATAGCACAATGTAACTTTAAGTCCATGTGATCTTTGGTTTATTTTCTTTATGTCTTTGCCCCTCTATCTTTCTAGAACACTGTAGACTTTATTGTATGCTATCATGACAATTATTCTTAAATTTAATGAATATGTTTCTTTCATTCTACAATCTCAATAGACTATCTTTTCCACCTAGAAAAAAATGTGTTGTGTTTATATATTGAGCCGTGTAGATTCATCTTGTTGTCCTTCAAGGTCAATGGCACTCTCAGGAATATCTCATGTATAAATCTCTTCTCTTGCTGGTTTTATGCTTTTAAAAACATTTACTGCTGAGCAGAGGGCTTGGTTTGCCATCTCTAATGAAAAGAAATCTATTTCTGGTGTCCTGGAGTATTTAACATGCAGAAGGAAGGAGGCAGCACAAATGTATCTTTCTAGCTTTGAATTCATGCTGTCCTTCCTAAATGATATGAACCTAGCAAGGGTGTTAGTTGTCAAAACCTAGTATGTTTTTGACCGGGCTGTTTTCTTTTGGGGTAGTTGTAGGTTTACAGAAAAGCAGCAGAGACAATGGCGACAGTGCATCTTGCCCTGATTTAGTTTCCGCTAATATTATGATTTTGCATTGTCATGGTGAGTTTGTTAAAACTAAGAAATCAACATTGGTATATTATGTGAACGTACCAGTTTTTTCCATTAATATCCTAATCCTGTCCCAGGAGCCAATGCAGGCTACCACATTACATTTACCTATCATAGCTCCTTAGTCTTCTCTGGTCTATGATGGTTTCTCAGACTTTTCTTGGTTTTTATCACCTTAACAGTGCTGAGGATGCCCTTGAGTCTGGTTTGGCTAATGTTTAAACTGGTGTTATTAATTTTGCAGGAGGAAAAGCCTAAAGGTGAAATACTGTATTCATCAGATTGTATTGGGGGTACCTGATATCCACACAATGTCACTGATACTGTGAAGCCTCATTAATTGGTTAAGGTCATGTTTGCCTGGTTTCTGTACTGTTAAGTTACTATGTTTTACTTCCCTATTCTGATTCTAAGATAGCCCACCCTCAAGGTGGAGAGATATGCTCTCACCTTTGGAGAAGGAAATGACTACATACATTAACTGGACTTCTTCTGTAAGGAAATGTCTTTAGTAATTGTTTTACTGCATTGGATTGTACAAATTCTAGTGCTGTCTGTTAAAGTAATATTTTTCAATTCTGCTTTTCTTACTAACCACAAAAAGAGAACATAAATACATACTTACATAGTTTTAAGAAGCAATTATGAACCAGGCACTTGCTCACTTCTGTAATCCTAACTATTTGGGAGGCTGAGATTGGGAAGATTGCAGTTTGAGGCCAGCATGGGCAAAATGTTAGTGAGTCAGTCCCCCATCTCCAAAATAACCAGAGCAAAATGGAATGGAGGTGTGGCTCAAGTGTTTTCTTTGCAAGCATGAAGTCCCTGAGTTCAAACCCCAATCCCACACACACAAAAAAAAGCAAATGTGAACATTAGTGCATAACAGTATAACTGAATGTGATGCCTAATTTTATGTGTCAGTTTGACCAGGTCACAGGGTAACCAGATGTTTGCTTAAAAATTACTCTGAGTATGGATAAGATTAACATTTCAGTTGCTAGACTGATTATAGCAGATGGCACCATAGGGTGGATGGATGTCATCAAATCTATTGAAGGCCTGGATAAAACAAGGTGGCCGAGTAAGGGAGAATTTGCTCTCTCTTCATGACTGATATTCGGCTGGGACATCGAGCATCTTCTGCCTTTGGACTCCAGACTTGGACTGAAACTATACCATTGGCTCTCCTGGGTCTCCATTGCCAACTGCAGATCTTGGGATTTCTCAGACTTCATTTTATGTGAGGCAATTTCTTACAAAGATTTTTAGATATTTCTATGTCTGTCTGTTTACCTACCAACCTTTCTATCATCTATGTCTCTTCTTCTGATTTGGCTTCCCTGGAGAACACTAATACACTAACCATCCCACTGAAAAAGGAGAGCAATATTGTAATTCTGAAAAACCTCTGTGTGCCTCTTTCCTGACTGTGTTCTGCTGGCTTGAAATTTATGTCCATCATCTCTTGTATTTATTTTTTATATGGTGAGATTGTAACTTTGTAAATTGGAATTTTTCTGGAATGGGTAAGTAGGTATGGTTCTTAAGGTGACAGAAGCTATAAGATAATTCTTTTACAGTTTTAGATTTTTTTCCTTTTATTTTGGGAAGGAACTTGCATGTCTTTCTTAATTCTTTACTCAAAATAAGAATAAACTCATGTTTTATCTACTAACTTTACTCCATAACTAATCTGCCAGCAGGTCCTTTTTAGATCTGCACATGCCATAAACAAAGGAATTTGTTTAATAATTCTCAGGCATTGTAGTGAAGAACTTGGTACATTAATGCTACATTAAAAAGTTAATAAGTTGCATAAACACATCTTGGATAAACATAAAGATTGTTACCATCCTACTCTAATGAGTGATTATAGCTCATTATATCTCTGTTTAGTGATTAGATCTCTGTTTAAACACTTTTTCTTAAAAATAAATAATCTAAGTGATGAGGATACTTGATCTCTTTGTCTTACTAAAACAATAGGCTAGAACAAAACATTTGGAAAAACCTGTTAATTATATCTGTATACCATATAAATTTTGAAATCTTAAGCTTTTAAAAGTTCAGATGTTTTTACATTTGCACCTGCACACCCATGTTTATTGCAGCGCTATTCACAATAGCCAAGTTATGGGAACAACCAAGATGCCCCACTACTGATGAATGGATCAAGAAAATGTGTTATTTATACACAATGAAATTTTACTCAGCCATGAAGAAGAATGAAATCTTATCATTTGCAGATAAATGGATGGAACTGGAGAACATCATTCTGAATGAGTTCAGCCAGGCTCAGAAGACCAAAAATCGTATGTTCTCCCTCATATGCAGACTTTAGATCTAGGGCAAATGCAGCAGTGTGGTTGGACTTGGATCACATGACAAGGGGAGAGCACATATGGGAGATATGGGAATAGGTAGAAAACCCAAAACATGAAAGAGTTTGATGTCCCCACTCCAGAGGAACTAATATAGAAACCTTCAAGCGATAGAGGTCAACATGAGAAGGGATCAGGAACCAGTGTAAAGATCAGTTAGAGATGAATCAACTTGGATTGTAACACATTTGTACATGGAAGCAATGTTAGGAATCTCTCTCTATAGCTATCCTTAACTCAACTAGCAAAAACACTTTGTCTTCCTTATTATGCTTATGTTTCTCTTCAACAAAATGAGAGCTAAGAGCAGAACAGGTTCTGCCTGGATGTGAGGGAGGAGGGGGAAGAGAATGAGATAGGGGAGCAGGATGAAAAAATGGCCCAAACAATAAATGAATAATAAATTTTTTAAATAAAAAAATGAATATATTAGGAAAAAAAACAGTAATGAGAAACATAAAGACTTGCAGTGTTAAAATCCTAATAGTTATTTTTCTATTTCATTTAAGTTTTGCTACTGAAGATGTATAAAACAATTTTACTGTCACTTCATTTTATCCATGAATATTCTGTCCCTTAAAGTCTCTTGTTTTCTTAGATAGTTCTTAGTTCTTTCAACTGCCCAGTTGCCTAAAATCACTTAGGACAAGATTTGGTCATCCCATTATGGTGTACCTCCTATGTCATTTTATTTACTTGATGAGGGCTTCTCTAAGTATTAATTGATTGCAAAGGAAGAATAAACATACTAAAATGACTAACAGCACTTACTAAGCAATACCTACATCTTAGATAATGATGCACATATGACTCGCACAGGAATTTCAGGTGCTTAGGGTTCTTGAGCCTGCTCTGAGAATGAAAGCACAGACAGACTCTTAACAGCAGATGCTGGAAAGATTTTATTTG